ACTGGCTCGAAGCAGCGTCCCTCCCGCCACCCGCTCCTTTCCCTCTGCGTGCTCGGCGGGTCGGACTCAGCACTTGCACGGCGGACGAGGGCATGAGCGGTGAAGCATACACCGTCGCCACTCTCGTCGAGGACAAAACTGCAGGGCTGACAATACCCTTTGCAATCAAAGCTGCCAGCCTCTCACTGCTGGCCATTAGAACTGACTGAGAGCCTGGAGCAAACTGCCTGCCTCTCGCTGCCCCTCGGAGCTGGGCCATGCACCGCCTCCGCCTTCTCCACTTTCACGAGGTAGTCCACCAGGATCGGGCACAGGGAGTTGGCGGACGGCACCCTCGAGTTCAGCACGAAAGAGAGGACCCCCTTGGCTTCCTCGCCCGTGGTCCTCGCCTTGCGGTACTTGCAGTGGAGGGCCTGCTCCGCGATCTCCTGTGGCTTCTTGGCGGCGATGACCTGCTGCCAGTACTCGAGGAAGATCTTGTGCCCGTCTGCGTTCGGAGCCCCTCCCCCCGGCGCCGTGATCTCCATGCTGCGCTTGATGATGGCGCCGAAGAGGTGGACGTGAGGCGGCCCGCGGGCCTTGAAGTCGACCGACTCCCCGCCCGCGACCTTCTCGCGGAGCCTCTTGCTCTCGCCGTCGTAGTCGATGCCGCTCTTGCGGCGCACCTGCCCGAGGCTGCCCTCGGCCTCGCTGATGAACATCGTGGTGTAGCACACGCTCTCGAGCTGCGCCGCCTGTCGGGCCGTGGTGAGGGCCAGCTTCGCGATGATGACCAGCAGCTGGTCGGCCTTCTCCTTGTGGTTGCCTGCCTTGCCCCGCTTCGGGCGCGGCGCCGATGCAGGGGGCGAGGCCGCCCTCACCATCCAAGAGGGCATCGCCACGTCCGAGGTCATGGCGGAAACGCTGCCGCGCGAGGAAACACGCCCCCGAAGAAACCGACCAGGGAAGATGAGCCCGAAGATGGCTACAGAGGTCGTCGTAGTCAGCCGACTCGTACGAGCAAATGCGGCACCCAAGATCCCTCGGTTCAACTCTGGTCGCAATCGCACTCGGCCCTCTCGTTCCGCATGCCCCCTAAATATCGAACCCTCAAGGTGTCGATAGGCCGTTTGCCTACTCCAGAAAATCTTCCTACACGCAATGCATTCGTTGGACGGGCAAAGCAGAGCAGCTAAATTATAAACACCGTGCTTGTGCCTCAAGTGCTCAGTGAGCCCCCGCTTCGTGCAGAAAGAATCGCCACATTGCGTCCCCTCCCCTTTCGGCCAGGAACACACGTACGGGGCAACAAAGTCGGGGGGGGGCCGAGCCCACCAAGGGCCCCAGGGTCAGAGACACCGCAAAGTGGGCCAGGGGGCGCAATTGTGACCGTGAAATGGTGACTACGCAGACGTCTGAAATCCAGGCGAACGAACTCCTCAGATAATTCTTTATCCTCGATAAGGAGCCAGGGACGGTCCGCGACACGCAAAAGCACATCCCTGTCGTCGGGCATGACATCGATCGCGGCTCGAACGTCGTCCTGGATGCGTTTGGCCCAGGGACTCGCAAACTGACTAAGGCCATCCTCTGTACACGGCCGCTTTTCCGCAGGTTCAAAATCAAGGGCCCCAAAGAGCATTGCTAAAACGTGCGCGTGCACCCGAGTCCGAGAGGCCCAAGATTGATACCAGCTTAGCCTACGGATTCGGAGCTCCATTTCGCACTGCACTAATTGCCAGGAAGCCAAGATCTCTTGAGAACACATGCGGGCAGTGACCCCCCTGTTCGTTGCGTTCACATGCGGCACCGCGCATGGCAATCTTACAGAGGGAGGCGAGACAGTGATCCAGGAGGGTGTTTTGCACTAAACCGATCAGTACCGTGCGCCGCCAGCGTCGCGGCGTGCTGGCAGACCAAAACCTGCCATGGCATAGAAGGCGGCACGGGCAGCCGCCATCCTACGCTCCACCTCGATGGCCGCTGAGGCGTCCTGCGTGACGATCGGCCCCAGGTACCTCGTCGCCTCCTCGACTCGTCCGTCGACTCGGTCCCCGTGCGATGGCATGCTGGAGCCACCGCTTGCACTGCTGCGAGCCCGTCCCCTGGATCATGAAGCACGCCACCTGCTTGTCGCGATTCTGCGCCATCCCATATTGCGTGAGGCACTCGTCCAGGATGTCATCGCTGCTCTTCATCCTCCTGAGGGCCTCGTCCATGTCGCAACCGACCTCCAAGGGTATGACGCGGTACAGGTCATCGGCGTACTTGGCCAACGAGACATCATGGTGAAGTCCTCGAAGCCCCCGCGCAGCGGTCCCGTGATCCCCACCATCGACAGTCGCTGGGACCACTTGTCAACGGGGGCGACAAAGGCCGCCGCGAACGCCTGCACCACGAACGGGCCCCCCATGAGGCCGCCCTCGCCCGTCTTCAAAAAGAGGACCCCGTCGCTCGTGTCCACCTCCACGACTGACAGGCGGTGCCTGTCGCGGCAGAGCGTCTGGTTCTGCGGCTCCACCGAGCCCTCGCCTAGGATGACCTCATCGAACCTTTCCCAGGCCACGCTGCCGAAGGCGTTCGCCATGTCCTTGAGCGTTGCCACCCACGACCAGCCCGACTGCCTCGGGCGCCACGCCAAAACCTGAGTCGCCAGCAGAGCTCGCCCCCTACGTCGGCGGGGTGCGAATCCGTGATCCTGCGGGGCCAGCTGCGCTTCGAGCTTGTACGCGAAGTAGCCCTTTCCCACAGCGGGGAGGGAGTGAATAACTCTCCTTCCCTTCATACCAGGCTTGTCGTTCTTGGCGAGTCCGACGCCCATGCTGCGGCGCCAATGCAGGGGAGCATTCTCCGTGCGCCTGATCAGCGTCAGCGCTCGCAGGAGGGTCTCGTCGAACAACTGCATCCCCTGCGCCGTCCTCTCGAAGCCCACGCCGTGGGGCAGCTGGTCCATGGCCCTGTCAGGCCAGAGGCAGAGGTCCCAAAGCTCGAGCGCCGCCGTGCCAGTTGGAACTGTGCGCCTCTTCTTGGCGCGCCGAACGTAGCGCCTCAGCTCCTTGAAGTCATCCTGTGCGTAACCAATGTCCATGGAGTCGGCAGGTGGGGCGGGGGGGGTGCCAGTTCTGCTTGCGCGCCACTCACTCCAGTCGACTTCGTGTGCCCTCATACCTCCCTGGGCGCCAGGCCTCCCCCACGCCTCGACCCAGTCCGACCGTGGCAGCGGGGGGGGGGCCAAGGCGGCGTCCGTCTCGTCGCTTCGCGCCCAGTCGACAGTGTCCAAGTAGTCGTGAGAGACGCATCGCCTCGGCCGTGTCCCTCTTCTCCCAGGCCTCCCGTACCTCCTCCTGGAGCTGGTTCCTCTCTGCGATCCTGCGGGCACGGTGCTCCAGCTTCAGCTCAGCCGAGAGCGTCTTGAGCTCAGTCTCCAGCTCCCGAAGTCGGTCCTCATCTGCTTCCAGTCGTTCCCGTCGAAGTCGGGAGCGTTCCTGGAGGAGCTCGCGTCGTCTAGCACATCGTTGGCTGCGCGCCTCTCCCCCATGTGGCCCCCCGAAGTGCGCGGCGCCCGCCGCCGTGAGGATGCTCTCCAGCTCCTCCCAAGCAGCGTCGGGCGTACCCTCCATCATGCATGCGTCGATATATTCACTTCTTTCCCCAATCCGCCTCAGCACATCCTCCAAGAACTCCTTTTTCCCCTTCCCGTGGCGGACCGCCTGCATCAACCTCGTGCAGTCAAGGCGCTGCGGGGGCATGGGCGGCAAGGCCCAGGCATCCTTCTCGCACTCAAGCTCGAGCAAGAGGGGGAGGTGGTCCCTCGGAGGCGCCCCTGGTAGCACTTGCCACTGCGCTCCCAGGCCGTGCAGAACATGGCAGCGCAGCACACGGGGAAGCCACCCCAGTGGGATGAAGAAGTGATCGATGACCGAGCCCGAGGATGGTGTCCTGGTCGTATAGAAGGTGTACTCAACTTTGTCTGCGAAGGTAGACGGGGCGGCCATATGCTGGGTATCCAACAGGCCCCTCACCAGCTCTCCCGCACCTCCTCGTCGCTGCTCTCGACTGCGACGATGTCCAAGGGCCTGGGACGGCAGTGTGGTCCATCCCCCAACCTGCTTCTGGATCCCCAAACCGTCGTTCAGGTCGGCGCAGAAGATTGGAAGCGTCCTCGTAGGCGCCTCCTGGAGTATCTGCTGCCACCAATCTCGCAGCAGCTTCGCCGTGTGTAGGTAGCGGCTGACCTGGATGCGCTCCCTCGGTTGCGGCGGGAAGTATATCACCCCCACCAAGATGTCAAGGCAGCCATTGCGAATCCGAGCCGCCAGGGCCCGTCCTCCTGCTCCTGGTGGCGATCCCCATGTACGGACAACGTGGGAGTCGCGGAACCGCTCCCCCAGGGCGATGGCGCAGCCCGCGCTGTGGTTCGTGTACGCCCCCTCGGTGTACGGCGCCTCCAGCACAAGTCGACCTTCGCACCGACGACGGAGGACTCCCTCTCCTCCAGAGTGGCAGTGCACCTTGGTGCCCGCGAGGAGGAGGGCGTCCGCGGCGCGGCAGCCGATCAGCAGCTCCGAGAGCCTGGCCCCCACAGCGTGGAGCGGGTTGAACGCCAGGAGGCGGAGAGTCGATCTCAACGCTGTCGCCATGGCGGCTCGCGCAGGTCCTGTGGGAGGACGACCTGCATCAACTCTGCCTCGGTGTGAGGTGCCCCCAGTCCTTCCAAACAGGCCAGAACCAGAGGGGCTAATGAGGAGGAGGAGGAGGAGGAGGAGGAGGAGGAGGAGGAGGAGGAGGAGGAGGAGGAGGGGGAGGAGCAGGCGGAGTGCAGAGGTGGGACACGAGGATGAGGAGGAGAAGGAAGGGACGAAGCGGGACAGGAGGAAACCGGAGAGGCAAGGGACGAGTTGAGGAGGGAGGAGAAAAGTCAGATTGCACGAGGAAGGAGGAGGGGGGAGGGAGGTGCCAGGGAGGAGGAAGGAGCAAAAAGGCGACTAGATCTGCAAACGCGACTGGGCTCCCCAACCGTCCTTCAGGTCAGACATCTCCTCGATGATGGCCTTCACTGAAGAGAGCTCCTCGCTGCGCGCCAAGAGGATAATCAAGAGAATGGGAAACTGAGGCGGGGTAGGGGGAAGGAAGAGGAGGACGACGATGGGGAAGATGAGGACCAGGAGACAGAGACGGGGCCAGAGGATGAGCATGGGCATCAGGATGAGCAGAAGGTGAAAGAGAACAGGAGGAGGATGAGGCGGAAGATGATGAGAGTGGGGAAAGAACGAACAGACATACGAACTTCAAATGTCCAAAGCCCGAGCCAGCCAAACTGGCTCCTGGACCTTGTGGACGAGCACGTTATAATGGAAAATGAGAGGTCAGCATGTGGTCGATGCAAAACTTGCTGTTTTTCTGATAGCCGCAAGAGATGGGGCAAATGGCAGTCGTAGTCTAGGTCCCAAACGGATTGTTCTCCCCACACGGTTTCCCAAATAATCGCTGACCTTGTGGCATGGCCCAGGCGGCCCAAGACGTCCCAAAGAAGCCCCAAGAGGCCTTAAAGAGGTCCCATAGACGCCCCAAGAAGCCCCCAAGAGGCTTCCAAGAGGCTCCCACGAGGCCTTCTCCTCCCGCTGCTACTCCTCCTCCTCCTCCTCCTCCTCGTAATCCTCCTCCTCCTCCTCCTCCTGTTGCTACTCCGCCTCCTTCTTCTCCTGCTCCTCCTCCTCCTCATCATCCTCTTCATCCTCCTCCGTCTCCTCGCCCTTCATCGCCGTCGTCGTCGCCGTCGTCGTCGTCGTGTTCAGAGTCGGCGGCACCGGCCGTAAGGCCTTCGCACTAATCGCTGGTCTTGTGGCATGGCCCAGACAAATTCTGCAGACACCTGCATTCGCACACACGAGCGTGGACCAAGAATATGGCCTCCTTCGCAGAAGGGGCCATGGCCCCATAGAGATACACAAAACAAACACCATTCCAAGGCGGCAAGCCCAACCATTTTGAACAAAAGGGGACCCGTCCAACAAATTGTGGGTCGTGTCTGACCCTCGTGGCAGCTGTACGGTGCTGCATGCGCCAGCGATGGATAGACCTAAATCAATGCGGACGGCCAAGTAGTTGGCGCGATGCCACCCCAGCCAGCGTCCAGGAAAAACCTGTGCACCCCCCATCATCAGCGGGGCCTGCGGTGTCCAACCCAAGCAGGCAGCCAGCGCTGCCCAAAGCCTCGTCATACCCTCGGGCGCTGCAAGAGGCCGTCCTGGCACGTACCTCTGGGCGCTCCGAGGAGGCGCCCTGGCATACACCATCGGGCGCTCTCAGCGCGCGTCCTGGCAAATAGCTTCGGGCGCTCTCAAGGAAGCGTCCCGGCAGCCGCCCTGCTCATCCAGCACGCCTCGCGGGGCATGCGTGCCACACCCCGAAGGGGAGCGAGCGGCCAGGCGGGACGTCGCAGTCCCAGATCGCAGGGCGGCGCTGGCTGGCTCGGGCGCCTGGCGAACCACCACCGCCACGGGGGCCTGTTGCGAGTCCGCGCGGGAGCGGAAGGGCCGCGAGATGCGGCGCGCTCTTCACGTGGAGATCTCTGGAATCTGTCACGGGGGGCGTCAGCTGCCCATGCGCGCGGTGTGGCATGCCCATTGGCGTACCACCAGCGGCTTTGAAACACTCGCCGGCCACTTCATTTCTTCAGCCCTCCGTTCTGCCTTTGAGGCCGTTGTAAGTCATTGGCCCAGTGGCGCCGGCGATCGCCAGTTTGTAGGTTGCACTGTCGGCCCCCGCGACAGGTAGAAGCCAAGCCTGCTAAACCGCAGCTGACCGCGAAATAGATCTGAGCCCCGAAGCTTGACAAATTCGCGCGTCTTGCCCTTCTGCGGGCATGCTGCTACATCAACACCCGAATCCAATGGTGACGGTTGTATGATCTCGCTACTTTCGCAAAGCTGTGCTCCATCCCACAACCCTCTACTCGCAGTTGCGCAAGGCGCATGTGCTCTTTTGGTGTCCCGCTCTGTCTCGGGTGCGGGTTCGAGCTCGCCCCTAAAGGCATGCATGTCGGACCTTGCCTTCGGCAAGCGATCAGCTCCAGCAACCTCGGAACAGCAGGGGCCTGCCCATTCTACACCACTGCCCACAGGGGGGAAATCCCACCAGCCCTCTGGGCTTAGGAGGTATAACGCGTTTGTTTCTTCTCTTCCACTGAACCCCCTCCCCCTACCCCCTCCCCTGGGCCTGGACGGGGCGCGCCGCGAGGCGTTAGAGCGTCCAAGATGGCCCAAGATTGTCCAAGAGGCGTTCAAAGTCGCAAGATGGCCTCCAAGATGGCCCATGTTACTTCAAGATGGGTCAAGATAGCCTCCGACATACCCCCAAGCGGCCCCAAGACAGCCCCAAGACGGATCCAAGTGCCCTTCGAGCCCTCCACGGCGCTCTCCAAGATGCCCAAACCCAGGGAAAATCAATGTTTTTGGCAGTCTCGCCTTTTCGGTTCCGATGGGTTTTGGAAGCCTCAAGATGGCACCATGATGGCCCAAAAGGGCCCCAAGAGGGGCCCAAGAAGGCCGAAGACGGCCCCACGATCGCCCAAGAGGCGCCCAAGAGCGCTCCAAGACGGCCCCAAGACGCCGTTTGAGAGCCTCCGAGAGGTGGGGATCCTAATTGAGGAACCTCCTCTTTTTGAGACATGGGGCCCAAGATGGCCCCAAGAGGCCCCCCGGCCTCTCCCAAGGACCCTCCACCCCGCCCTTTTGGCCCAAGATGGCTTCAAGAGAGACCTAGATAGCCCAAGATGGCCTTCAAAATGGCCTAAGATAGCCAATCATGGTTCAAGATAGCCTCCGACAAGCCTCCAAGAGGCCTCAAGGCAGCCTCACGATGGCCCAAGATAGCCGAGCATGGCTCAAGATAGCCTCCGACAGCCTCTAGCCGAGCACAGCTCAAGATAGCCTCCAAAAGGCCTCAAGAAAACTGGCAATCAATTGTGGTTGGGCTGGTGGGGATGTTTTTTTTGGTCGGCGGCTCCAGGACGAAGGTCGAGAAGCGGGGCAACGCTCGGGGCGCAGAACGAACTGGCGGGAATATGTTTTTTGATTGCCGGCTTCAAGGAAAGGTCCAGGAAGCGGGACGGTCTCGGCTGGGGAGGGCGAGATAAATAGCAACGACGGCACATAGGCCGACGCAGCACGTGCACGTGCCAGGGACAAAATGCCCCCTAGTAGGATGCAGGTGATCCGGAAGCAGGGACGCGGGCATCAGAGGAAAACAGACGGAGGAGGAGTTGCACAGTGGCGCCAGCTCAGTCCGTACCGACCAGCACGTAACGGCGTGGGTCACGCCGCGCTGAGGCAGCACAAAGGGCCAGCGGGGCCGCACCGTCCAACACGACGAGGACGCAAAAAAGGCGGGGAGAGGCGACGGGCGCGAGGGCACACACGAGGACAGAGAAGAAGAGGAGGGGAGCCGAAGAAAGCCTCACTCACAAGGACTCCTGGAAGTGCTCGGGCAGGAGCGACCGACCTATGCAGGAAGAGCCGACCCTGTCATCCGTCCCAGTCTTCCGAGTCCACAACCTGCAACAGCCTGGCATTGACGCCGGGGGGAAACAGTTGCAAGCGAAGGGCGAGCACCACGGGCCACCCTGCGGGAGGGCCGAGAAAACTGCCAAAATATATACCACTTGTGCAGTAACAGGAGCTCGAAGGCGGCGTCCGCCGTGGGAGGCGAAACTACCAAGTCGTCGGCGTACAACGCGGGCAGCTTATCCGTCACAGGGGACGGGGGCACCAAGATGCGAGCGTCAACTGAGGTAGCAGGGGCGGACCTGATGGGGGAACAGCAGCGACCTGCCAAAGGATGAACCACTTGACAGTACAGCATTCACCTCAAGTCCGGCCCCAGGTGGTGCCGGAGGGGGTACGCGCCAGGCTGCACCAGCCGTAGCCCGACACCTGGAGCGCCGCGAACCGCTCCCAATCCACTCGGGCGAACCGCGCCCGCTCCGGGGGCTGGGAGAGACGTAAAGGCAGGGACAAACTGCTGGTGGGGATACTTTTTTGATCTGCGGCTCCAAGGACGATTCCAGAGAGCGGGTCGTATCGAGCATGGGGCAGCACGCAAGATAATTGCCAGCGGGCCAAAAGCCAACGCCGGAGTGCAATTACTATAGTGCGCTCGCGGTGTCTGACCACCTACCAGACCACCCCAACCCAACCCGAAGACCCGAACTTCGGGGTGCGGGGGGGGGGTACGGGCTTCGTAGGTGTTTTTTCAATGTTCCCCGCCCCCCCTCCCACTAGAAATGAGGGCAGAAGCGTCAAGAATTTACTTGCGCCTGCCTGCCGAGATGTCGTGCTTGATCAAGGAGGAGGGGGAGGAAGAAGAGGAAGAAGAGGGATGAGGCGGAGGAGGAGCAGGAGAGGAGGAGGAGGAGGAGGAGGAGGAGGAGGAGGAGGAGGTCTACCCTCGGAGCTATACACATTCTAAAAATATCTGGCTGCCGATCGCGGGACAGCCGCGCGACCGCGAGATGCTTATTGGGCGCGCAAGGCAACTTACCTCTGCTCGATTCCACGTGGAACCTCCGCTGTCCTGTCGATGGCTCCAGGCCGAAGGAGATCCTGAGTCGCACGCTAAGCCTGGAGGCTGGACTGGATAATCCACGTTGAACCTCCGCTGTCCTGTCGATGGCCCCAGGCCGAAGGAGGTCCTGAGTCACACGCTAAGCCTGGAGGCTGGACCGGACAATCCAGACCCTGCCGCAGGTACATGTCTACTTCCATCTGCTCTGCATAACTGGTACACATCGACCTTAGTTGCACCATGTGACGTGTTTCTCGCGGTCCGGCTCAAGGTACTGGCGACAGCAACTCTAGATCTATATTTCGTCGAATCGGTCTCGTACGAACTGCTCGTCGCTGATGACTGCTGCTACAAAGAGAGCGGCAACCAATCCTGCGGTTGCGCACCTGGCGGTGGGATTATCATTGTCGAACATCCTGGCGTGGGGTATTTGATGACTCTGTGGGTACTGCGGGATTCCGATCAAGTGGCTATTTCGGATGGCAGGTCGCGCAATTGGTTTTTGCCTTGAGAGCCTCAGTTTGTATCACCGATGTAGGGAGTAAGTGCCTGATTGTTTCGTTTGTGACAATTCGTCCACTGGATCTTGTGCGCCTTCTTTCCTGTCCTTCTCTTGTCGTGAAAAGTTCGTCCATGTTGATGCTGCTCTGTCTCTCGCAAACAAAAGCGACTTGCCGTTCTGACCCTCCTTTAGCCGCCTTCACGATCGGTCTTGGCACAGCGTCGAAACGCTGCCAGCTCCGAGGATCCAGGTCCGGAACGCCATCCTGCGCGCGCCTCCTGCAGGACCTCCTGCGCCCCCGCGCGCCAGCCGCCGCTGCGCCCCCTCCTCCTCCCCCTCCTCCTCCTCCTCCTCCTCCTCCTCCTCCTCCTCCTCCTCCTCCTCCTCCTCCTCCTCCTCCTCCTCCTCCTCCCCCCCCTCGCCCGCGCACGCGCTGTGCTTCAACGACGCGCGACGAGCCCAGCACGAGGCCGCAGGCGCCGCCGCGGCGCGCCCTGCGAACCGCCCCGGGGTGGCCCCCCGGAACCACGCCTGCGCCTGCGGCCGCCAGGCGGCGTCCCTCGCGCTGGCCTCGGGCGGACGAGGAGGAGGAGGAGGAGGAGGAGGAGGAGGAGGAGGAGGAGGAGGAGCCGAGCCAGAACTGTTTAGAGAGCAAAGCATCCGCCCTGAGAATATCTGCAGCGAGCGAGGGGGGGAGTGAGAGTGAGAAGGCCTTCTCAGAAGACGGCGGGACCTTCTCAGAAGCCCTCGCGCCCTCTGGGATTTTTTTTCTCCGTCTTCGGGGGGTGCTTAGAAAACTGCCTCATCCCTGGGCCTGTGCCTCACCGCAAGCGCTGCGGGAGAAGCCTCCAGGCAGCGTCGGCGCGACAGGATCACGGGGGGGCGCGGGAAGAACCCTGGACGGCAGCACGAGGAGGGGCAAAGGGCAAGCCTGCTCCTGGAGGCAGCGCCGGCGCGACAGGATCGCGGGGTTGCGCGGCAGGGCTGCGGGAGCCTTGGTCGCCCGCCTCCTCGAGGCCTTGCGGAGCGAGGGCGGCCGGCGGCAGTGGCCGAGGATGGGCCGAAGGAGTGGCCAAGGAGTGGCGAAGGATGGGCCGAAGGAGTGGCCGAAGGAGTAGCCAAGGAGAGGTCAGGGTGGGCGATAGTGCGATAGTGGCCAAGGAGTGGCAAAGGATGGCCTGGTCTGATTGCATCTGGCGCACAGGCGGGGCCAAGGCGTCTCTTGACGAGCACGCCGCACGAGAGCTTAAATCTGTAGACGAGCACTGCCGGGTGCGAGATGCTGTGCATCGCGTGCAACTCTGCCTCTGCAGCTTTCTCGTTGCTGAAAGTCTGCTAGACTGGGCCCAGCCGATAAGGCCAGATGGCAGCAGTAGCATTCCTGCTGAGACAAGGAGGGCGAGGATGACGAGGACGAAGACTAAGCAGAGGAGGATGAGGAGGAGAATGACTAGGAGGAAAGTAGGATGAGGAGGAAGAGGGAAATGAGGAGGAGGAGGAGGAGGAGGAGGAGGAGGAGGAGGGGGAGCAGGAGGAAGAGGAAGAGGCCTGCTGATCTCTCTCTCTTCGCTTCTTCCCCTGCTGCGCTCGGCCGTCCGTTCGTGCCCCTTCGCCCTTTCCTCTCGGGCCCCCGTCCGTCTCTCCCCTTCGTCGCTCGCCGAACCCCAAACCGGTGATCGGCCCATTTTCGGAATGGTCCCCGCCTGCTGTGCCCTTCGGCACACGCAGGCTGGGACCACTGGCAGCACCCGAGGGGACCTCATGCCATCAGGAGTCAGGAGTCAGGAGTCAGGAGGAGGAGGAGGAGGAAAAGGAGGAGGAGGAGGAGGAGGAGAACCTCGCGGGATCGTACACGTCCTGGCCCTAGTCTTCTTCCATCCTGCTCCTCCTCGTCGTCCTTGCCGCTCTCCTCCTCGAGATGCAGAGGGAGGAGAAAGGGGGGAGGAGGAGAAGGAAGAGGACGACGACGAAGACGACGGCGGCGGCAAAGACGATGAGGAGGACAATGAGGAAGCCGACGAGAGGGACGACGAGGATGAGGAGGAAGAGGAGGAGGACGACGAAGACGACGGCGGCGGCAAAGATGAGCGCGATGAGGAGGACGATGAGGAGGGCGATGAGGAGGAAGAGGAGGACGATGAGAGGGACGACGAGGGCGATGAGGGAAGATGAGGAGGGCGATAGCACCACTTGCGTCCGCACTGGCAGCAGCCTTGATTTGCTTTCGCATTCCGAAGTCGGCACATTTCATCTTCTCCTCTCGGAGACCGCAACAAGCCATGCATTTGTTGCTTTCCTCCGTGACCCGCCAGGGTGCCGGGCGCCAGCTTGCCGGGCGCCCAGGCGCCGCGCGGCTCACCGCGGCGCGCGGGCCTAGAAGCGCTCCAGCGCCTCGCGGCGCTCGCGGCGCCGCCGGGCGTGCGCGCGGCGAGGCGGCTGCGCGGAGAGGCGGCTGCGCGGCGAGGCGGCTGCGCGGCGACGAACGCGAGGAGGCTGGCGGGCACCCCGGCCTCCGCGAGGTTCGTGAACGTCTCCGGCGGAACGATAGGCTTGGTGAGGGCGTCGCTGTTGCTGATGCTGCAGGGGCCCTTGTCCTGGAAGTACTCCGCCACCTTAAGCCGAGGCGCCGCGGTTTCCACGAGATAGGTGCACAGCAGCCCGTGGATCGACGCGTCGGTGGCGTTCTGGCAGCCTGCCGCCTCGTTCCCGGTCGGGCAAGCGCAGGGCGCCTCGACGGGGTCGCCGCCGCCCTCAGTAGGCGGGTCGGCGCAGCCCTTGACGGCGCCGCCGTTGAACCTCTTGAATTGAAGCGCTCGGGGTCCGAGGCGCGCTTGCGGAAGAGCGCGGGGAGCCCAAAGCTTTGGTCGCCCTGCGCCTCCTCGCACACCCCCTTCGCCTCCGTCAGGCGGTCCAGCGCGTCTCTCAGCCGCTCGCAGGCTGCCTCCAGCGGGGCGCGGTCCTTCTTCCAGAGGGCGGCGGCCTGCTCCTGCGCGCCCTGCGCCTTCCCGCGCATGCCCTCCATGCTGCCCAGGCCGCGCTGCCCCTCCTTGCTCAGCGTGTCGATCTCCTGCTGCAGCGCGGCCAGCCCTGCAGCGCCGCTGTTCCCAGGCGGGCTGCCCCGCCTCGCCCCCGCCTTTTGTTGCTGGCGGCCGCGCCGCCATCGCCGGACGGCTCCGAGGAGAAGCGAAGCTGACCGGCCCGCGGCGGCGCCAGGCCGCGTGGCCCGGCGCGGCGGCGCCAGGGAGGCCGCCACGGTCGCCCCACAGCGCCGCGCGCAGCCCCGTGGGCATCGCGCGCGCGGGGGCCCAGCGGGCTCAGGCGCGGGCGAGCGCCGGAGCCCGAGCGCCCCTTGAGCCAACGCAACTAGCCATGTATTCATGTCCGCCCAACGCAGAAAAAGGAGGGGAGGAGGAGGAGGCGGAGGAGGAGGAGGAGGTTGAAAGGTACCCGAGACCCCTCCCCCTCCTCCTCCCGCTCCTCCTCCTCCTCCTCCTCCTCCTCCTCCTCCTCCTCTTCTTCCTCCTCCTGCTCCTCCTCCTCCTCCTCCTCCTCCTCCTCCTCCTCCTCCTCCTCCTCCTCCTCCTCCTCCTCCCATTCCCTTCGGAATACCCGAGGACCGACGGAGCCCGATCCAAGCTCCAAACAGCAGAACGAGCCAGGCAAGGCATCGCACGCCCCTCCGCTCCGCGCCCGCAGGGCCCACCCCGCGCACGGCCACCAAGGCCGCCGTCCGCAGCGGAGGCGGCAGGACGAGGAGCACGGGGGGGCGATGCTGCTTAGCCTCGAGGGCTCCTCGTTGAGCGCGGCGTTCTCCTCCTTCAGCCTCTCGTTGTCCTCTTGCAGGGCCCTCAGCATGTGGTTCTGCAGGCCCTCGAGGTCCGACCCCTCCTCGGAGGGGATCTCGATACTGCGCTGCCTCCTCCTCTTCCTCCTCCTCGTCCTCCTCCTCCTCCTTCCTCCTCCTCCTCATCATCATCATCAGCAGCATCATCATCGTCATTGCCTTCATCATCCTCCTCCTCATCGTCATCATCATCATCATCCTCATCCTCATCCTCATCATCATCATCACCATAATTGTCGTCATCAGCATCATCATCAGCAGCAGCATCATCAGCATCGTCATCATCATCCTCATATCATGTCATCATCGTCGTCATCATCACCATCAACATCGTCATTTTCCTCATCATCAGCATCAGCATCATCAACATCATCATCATCAACCACCTCCTCCCCACCTTCAAACGTCTATCTCCCCCTCCTGCTCCTCCCCCTCCTTCTCATATTACTCCTCATCCTCCTCGACCTCCCAACCCTCCACCGTCCATCTCCCACTTGTGCTCCTCCACCTGCTCCTCCTCCTCCTCCTCCTCTCCTCCTCCTCCTCGTCTTTCTCCTCCTCCTCATCCACCACCTCCTCTCCCTTCTCCTCCTCCTCATCCTCCTCCTCCTCGTCCTCCTCCTCAGGCCCTCCTCCTCCTCCTCCTCCTCCTCCTCCTCCTCTTCCTCCTCCTGCGCACAAGCTGAGGCGCCACAGAGTCTATGACGCCACAGCCGCCAGTCGGCGTGGCTGAGGGCGCACCTTACAACCGCCCTCAGCCACGCACATCGGACAGGGCCCACGGTGGGCCACACTCCTGCCAGGGGCTACACCCCAGGCAGTGAGGACAGCGCATGGCCAGAACGCCAGCGCGCACGTAAGGGCTGTGCAGGACCAGCAGAAGAAGATGGGTCACAGCACGAGCCCAACTAAAGTGAAAAGTAAAGGAAGGGAGGGCAGGCCGAGGGCCACGGGGCGATTTCCCTTACTGGGAGGATCCCCTGTGGCCAACGGCCTGCCCCCCAGAGCACGACCCCACGGTGGGGTCGGGCTGTTCTTGACCATGAACGTCGAGAGCATCGAGCAAAACGTGGGGAGGAGGACGAGGGCGGCCGCTGGCAGCTGCCAACAG